ATAATCTCTAAGCTGCGATAAAGAAGCCTTGAGGATATGTTATGATCTCCACAAGAATGATCTCTTATCTACTATAAAATGGCTCTAATCTGAGAGAGAAGGGGACACATGCTCCATCAGAGACTTTCAGAAGACGAACCGACTACCGGAGATTATTGTTTTTCTCTGATTCTCCATTCCCCCTCTCAAAGCTTGTATCTCCGTTCTCCATACCTTTGAATCAATAAAATACCCGGCGACTGAAGCCATTGAAGAGTGGACGTAGGTCGAATTGACCGAACCACTATAAATTGTGTCTTCTTTAATTTTCTCATTGATTTCATTGTATTTATTATCCATACTTGACAGGTGGTGTGCAAAACCATTTTTGTGCATCATCATATATAATGTATAAGTAAGAAAAACGAGTTAGCTCGTGCATAGTTTAGAATCGATTCAAATATTAAACGAGAGCAAGTTCAAACCGAGCTGAGCCCGAGCTACACGCGAGCTGCTTGGATCGTTTGACAATCCTATTTTCAGTTGATAATTTTTATTTTATTTTTAATTCTCAAAATGTTATAAAACAATAGTTTTATTGACCTTAGAATAATTAGATGTGAGGTTAAGGTCTCTTAAGCAGCGTAACAGATGTGCTATAAGACCCATATGACCGACACGTAATGCGCCGGTCGCGGTTCCAGGGAGCAGCAAAAACAAAGCAACATGGGTTTTAGATAGAATCTAATTAAGGAACATTGCATCTTAGCATTGGTGTCTTTTATTACACACTGCGTTGGCATTGTTAAATTTGCATTATAAGAAATGGACAACTAACCCTTGTATATTAATATTTTACCAAAAGTTGAAAGATAACCAAAAGAACCCATCTTGATACTTGTCATTTGCAATTGATTATACACAATTACACATCAGTAAAAAATCACATGGCACACGCATTCTTGCATTCTCTTGTTTCAAAGGTCTCCCAATAACTTTAATTTTCATTGCGGTAAGATAAAAAAATGAAAAGATAGAAGTTGAAAGGATGAAAAATTTGAGAGATCAATAAAATATTATGTTTAGTAAGAAAAAAAAATAAGAATGATGAAAAAGTAGATGAATTAATTTTCTTTCCAACTCACCAAAATCGAAAAGAACATAGATGAAAAGTTAATTATTTGTGTTAAAATGTATCTTATTTGTATATATATTATGTACACATTAATTTTATATAAAAATATAATGATAATATACACACACATATTTAAAAATAAAAACATAAAAAAATAAAATTAAAAATTTTAAATTAAAAAAATATTTTTTTTATCTTAACTAGGAATGAAAATTTTCGATTCAATACGATGACACGATTTAAACTCGACAATAATTTTATGACACGAACTTGAAAATGACCTGATACTCGAACAAGAAATATAAAAAATTCATAATTTTATGACTCGACACGAATCTGACACTACATAACTCGATTGTCACTCCTAATATTAGAAAAAAAATTAGTCATTTTTATTTTTCATTCATCCAATCAAACACAAAGAAATGAAAGTGTATCATTCCTATTTTTCATCCTTGAATGATAGAAACTGTATTCTCCTACTTTTAATCATTCATACCAAACAGAACATAAGAATAGTTCAAGTAGTAATGAGGACGAATTGTAAATGTAGACGTTCTGAATTCAAAGCTTGACAATTCAATGTTACCAGGTTATGAAAAATTTATCTCTCATGAACACCTTAGTCTTGACGTAAATGACATCTAACTAACCAGACTGAAAAAAAAAAAAATTGATATACATATAAATTAGTTCAAACACTCCAAAACCGTTGAAAAAAAATAAAGGTATGTCTTCTGCATGACAATGGGCATAAACTATTTTGGTTATATGTTGCTTCTAGGATTCAGATGGTCCGTTTCTTTGTCCGAAAGGGCAAAGGGATTGTGGGTAAATGGACTAAATCATGTCAATGTCATCCGACAAAATTACCATTCATTACTGCAGTGGCAACAAGGCAAATTAAATTATCACAACCAGACATTTTCTAGTACATCATATGATTAGGTATGGGGCCCTTCTCGATTTGTTCTTCTTTGACTAAGGTTATTTTATATGGAACGAATGATTATTATTCTTTCAAGGATTATGACACACTTAGGAAAATACATGAACCAACAAATCAAATAAAACCGAGGATCAAGAGTTCAAATTTAACTTGTTCATGTGTAATATCTTATTCAAGCTTGATTTATATGTTAAATATTTCCACGGGCTTTGATGAATAAAACTATTCATTGCTCTCACTTAACCGGTTTGTTAAACGGGATTTGAAATTATTTAAGAACAACCCAATTTATAATGCACATTGCACAATCCCAACTTCATGTAAAGAACCTTGAAGAGGTAGTGAATGCTAATTTCTTGGTTACCATTGTGATTTCTTATAACAATTCGAGGAAGAATAGAAGATGTGAATGGTTTCCTCAAATTTGAGACACTTCCACACGGTCAAATGAAAATTTAGATTACAATTGTTTTCACAACTTTCACATGAAAATGTGATTTATCTCAGTTTTAACTTGATGGACAATATAAATAGTAATAAGCACGAGTTATAAATTAAAACGTAATGAGTTGAATCTTAAGTTAGGTCATGAGAAATTTATTCTTTATGAATACTCTAATTCCGACATAAGTGATCTGTCTTTGACCGGACTGGAAAAGAAATTAGTCAAGGTATGCGTAAGTTGATCCAAATATTCTTTATCGTTGAACAAAAAAAAGAATATATAAATACACACTCCATCTATCTCAAGAGACATTCTGATCAAATCTCTCGCTGGGATGAAGTTCTGTTTAATTACACTTTCACTTAATTTTACTTAATAGTATTTCATATCAAAAAAAAAAAACTTAATAATATATTACTTGTTATTAATTTAAATAGGACTCGCTATTTATAATTAAGTCTTGCACCCATGACTCATCTCTAGTGATCAACCATTGAAAAAAATTAACTAAAAATATATTAAAAAGAATCTAAACCCCTACTTATGACCCGAAATGGAAATACTATTTAGATCAAATTTGAGGCAGCCACTCAATTAAAAATGAACCGTATCTAATATTAAAATTTAAATTAATTCAATAATTATATTAAATTAAGTCCCTATAAAATTTCTCGGCCTGAAATAATTCGTCTCCACTTGTGAGTGCGTGTTAAGGCAATGTCAAAGTTTGGTCAACCTCAGCTGTCATTCGACTCCCTAAATACAAATGTGTACATTTGGAACCCACCCACCATTTATTAGATCCACCACATGAAAGCTTCGTCTATGATTAAATTAATTTTGGTAGTACATGTTCGACGACCTTCCATTCATTACCCACTTAAGAGTCACTCAATCCAAATTTTGAATAAACAGGCCATATTCAAAGTCTCCAACTTTGAAGTGTTGGGACCAATTTCTAAATGTGGGGTCCTGTCATTATGGCACCATCAATGGGTTGTTATAGCCGTCTATGCAATAATGTGAATCCACCCAATTCATATGATCTTCATAGAGGTTGGTGGCATACCCACTTGTTTTTTTTTTTAACAGCACTGATGTATTAGTCAATTTATACACATTTTAATTAATTTCGTTTTTGATTTGATTAAAAACAGATTATCTACACCAACTCTAAGAAGTTATCAAGAGTCAAACTGAAGACGCTTACTTTTACAACTCGTTTTTATTATTACTTGAACTACTAGTTAGCATATTCACTTTTATTTGTACGAAAACCATCTCAACCAATTAAAATGGCAGAGATTTGAGAGAGTCTGCAAGTGCCTTGTTTGGAAGGGAATTTAACATATTTCTGATCAGCCCTCCATCCCCTCTATCGACTTTGCCCAAGTCACAAGTAATTGAGTAGTAGTATTGGGATTTAGTTGGGGTGGTGCTTAATGCAATGTTATTATTGGTTTTGCAGTAATTCTAATATTAATTATGACTCAACTATCAATCAGACGGAGAAGTCTTAAATAGTTACAAGTAGTATTATTGCATAAGAGGATCAAGTTCATGTGATAATAAGGACGAATTATAAATTCAGATATTATGAGTTCGAATTATGAATGTCCTAGTTTCAGCTTAGATGATTTGTCTTTGACTGAACGAGAGAAGAAATTAGTCAAAGTACACGTAAACAGGTTCAAATACCCATGTCTATTAAACTGTAAAAAAAAAAAAGGCGATTGAATGGGGATTATATATGATGAATCAATAGGCTTTCGTTAGGTTTCACTTTTCAATAATTAGGGTCATGGCTGCAGAATTTAGGCAACTCTAACTTAGTCCAACCCAAAACATACAAACATACTGTAAATCCTTTTGTAAATGAAAGTGACCACCAAACTTGTTAGGAAGGGGTCACAATATTTTAAAAGAGGGCCTTTTGAGTGCTCTTTTTTTTTTTAGTTTTGTAATGCATTGTATTATGTAGGGTTTGAATTGTGTCTTGAACCCACTAAAACCACATCAACTTTTGATACGGGAATGGCACACCGAATTAACAATAATCAACCTCGTAATAGTACTCGAGCTATGCCTTTTGGTTCTAGTGACTAAATATAGCCTGAGATCTCTTTAAATATATTTTTTAATCAATTATTTTATTGGCGGATCATCGTCCAAGCAATCATGTGAAATTCATTCCATATAAGAGGGTCCCTCCTTTATTAACGATAAATGATTTGCTATTAAAAAAAATTAAAAACAAAAAATATTAGAGAAAATCTGAATCGGTGTAATATTGAGGCTTTTTGGTTTGAGTTCAATCCAGCTCGGCTGGAGTCCGTGTGTAGTGGGCTAAAGTGAGACTTCAATGATAGGGATGATGGGCTTGGATTACTTTTTTGGGCTGTTCTAATGAAGCCCAATTATTAAATATTGGGTGGATACTGGTCCGGACCAAATATACCACAAACTCTGCAGTGTAGCCCAAGAAAAGTCACTTCTTCTTCATCTCCTCTTTCAAGTTTCAAGTGTTGGACATTTAGCAAATTTTCTCAGAGCATTGCTTACGATCGTTGTCTTCTCTTTGCTACAAAAAAAAGGTATAATCTATAACCCATTTCAGTATTCTTAACTCAAACGGGACTGTAATTAGTTTCTGTAAGTGTTTGATTTGGGTTTATTGTCAACCTCTGTTGGATCTAGTCTTGTAAGCCGCTATTATTGTCCTTTGTGAAGATTAGTTTGTCAATAATCCTAGGGTTTGTCTCTCAATTCTTATGAACTAGGGCAAGTATTTTGATTTGTTCTCTGGCTTTCATTTGTTATCCCTGTGGTTGGTTGCTGAGAAATTGTTTTGAGGTAAGAAAATGACTTTTAATATTGGGACTTGTTTTATCTATCAAATGAGGCGTTTTTTCGTTTGATAACTTTGTGTTTTATCCTTGGTGTAATGATTTAAAAGTATTGTTGGGTTTTGAGAAGAATTATGTAGTTTGTGGATGAAGGAAGAAAACAAGGGCTATTACTGAATTGTTTTAGTGTTAGTTTTTTTTTTTTTCCCCAGGTTATAATGATGAAGATCGACTTTAGTGGGCTGCAATCGACTGCAACATCTTGTGGCCCAAACAATGAATTGTTTGATGGGATTTCAACTGCCCCTTCATTCCAGATTCCGGGCACTACTGATGTGAGTCTTAGTTGCTTGTTTTTAATTCTGATAGTCCCATTTACTTGAGAGGAAATTAGATTAGATACGTAGTGAGACTGAGTTGTTTTGTATCCTGTTCTTCTTGTTGCAGTTTGATGGATTTCAGAAAGAAGCTATCCAAATGGTGAAGCCGGCGAAGGGAACCACCACTCTTGCTTTCATTTTTAAGGATGGTGTAATGGTCGCTGCTGATTCTCGTGCCAGCATGGGAGGCTATATCTGTATGCACTTTATGTTCTCCAACTTGGTTCCTGTTTTGATTTGTAGAAGTTATGATTGTATTTTTTCTGATTATTCGTGCAGTGGATCGTTTTACTTGGTCTTTTTCTGGCATAATGCATTCTGTGACATCAAATTCATTTCATAGAGAGTTTGCGAATGTAAATTTTCCATAGAAATGGGCGCTAGGGTTCAATTCTAATCACTACTTAACATTCACTGATTTTATTTTCATTTTCACAGCATCACAATCTGTGAAAAAAATCATTGAAATTAATCCTTATATGCTTGGCACGATGGCTGGAGGAGCTGCTGACTGCCAGTTCTGGCACCGAAATCTGGGCATCAAGGTTATTAACTTTTATTTTTCTCTAAGCTGGATTGGTGTATATGATGTCATTAATTCTAAATGTAGAACCAGGTGCTGTGCTGATTGCTGATTTTTGTGGATAGAACTATGTACTATGTATGTGCATTGTGCTGATAAATGCAGATGCTTCTGAATATATATCTACTCTGAGAGAATTCCATCACAAATGTTCTAATATATATCTATTCTGAAAGAGTTCCATCATAAATGTTCTAATGTCACCAGTCCCAGTGCTATTTTCTCCCAGAAACAGACTCTTATAGTCTTATATTCAATGACTAGGTAAGGGAGGTCAAATTTTGATGCATATGTCCTCTTGACATGTCACTTTGAATTTTTTTATTATGACCCTACCTTGTTTTTGGTTTTTTTTCCTTCGTCAAGTTTAGGACTATTTTACAGAAACATGGATTTGGCAAGTAACTAAAAATTAGGACCCTCCACCCCATTTGTTATTTTGAATTTTTGAATATGATTTTACTATTTCATGTCCGTGTTTCCCTTTAAACACCCCATAGATAAGATATTGCCCTGCACGCAACCTTGGTACTAGCCTTAGTTCTCATATTTTCATTATGGTTGTATGAATTTGGCGGCATTGCACACTGCATATTTTCATTATGGTGGGGCATCTAGGAACTAGTGATTTGCAATGTTATGGGATTATTTGCCACAATACCTAATTTAAAATCTTGCATATTCCAGTGCCGTTTACATGAATTGGCAAACAAGAGAAGAATTTCCGTTACTGGGGCTTTCAAAGTTGCTGGCGAAATATTCTATATTCTTATCGGGGAATGGGTTTATCTGTTGGAACCATGATTGCTGGATGGGATGAAAAGGTAGTGACTATTAGGTAGCATGATCCTTTCCTGCATCCATTTGACTCTTAAATGCCTTTTTGTGTGTGTAGGGTCCTGGCCTGTATTATGTGGACAATGAAGGAGGCCGGCTGAAGGGAACAAGATTCTCGGTTGGATCTGGTTCCCCATATGCTTATGGTGTATTGGATGATGGGTGTGTTCCCCCTTCACTATTTTATATATGTTTAACATTCATTATGAAGAAACTTTTGCACAGTATTTGGTGAAGATTTGTTTGTGAACATAATTGTTGCAGATGATAAAGAAAAGAGCATGTTGCTAATAGCCTAGAGAAGTGGAACCCCAATGAAATGTTTGCATGTTTCTAAAAAAGAGTTGTTTTCTTGTGATCTTTGCATGCTTGTGCTTCTTTCCCTGCAGTTGAACAAAACAGGCTCTTTCATTCCTGTCCATTCAGGAAAAGGGCTTAAAGAGAAGGGAGAGAAAAGAAGGGGGGTGGGGGGGGGGGGGGAGTGAAGAAAGGTCAACTGCACCCACATGTTGTAGTGTGGGCATAAGTTTTTGAAGTTACTGCAGAATTCTGCTCTCGAACAAATTTATGGAAAGTGTCTAACCACTCTCTAGAAGAATATTACGCAAAGCATTTTAGTCATATAGTTCACTAATTCTGGAACCATGTTGACATGCCGCCATAAGTAATTGTATGTGTACTTTATTTTCATCGTTTGTGAAGATTGGATGCATGCTTTATTTTGATTGTTGTGAAGACTGGGGAAAAGTTTCATCAAACTCTCCCACAATTTACAACTGTTCCTTTCTTTTCTTTGTTGTTTTCTTAGTCTTTATTATTATGTTTCTTGTAAATCTCTATAAATTGTCGGTAAAGCACCTCATTCTTTTATGTATTCTTACTCATTCTTGTTCTGTTGTATCCCGTTGTTCTAATGTATCTGCTAGGTACCGGTATGACATGACAGTTGAAGAAGCGGCAGAGTGGTAGACGAGCTATTTATCATGCAACATTCCGAGATGGAGCCAGTGGTGGAGTTGCTAGTGGTATGCCTCTCTGTGTGTCTCTCTGTGTGTGTGTATATTTGGGCGTGTATGAGTGATTTTTCCATGATGTCTTGTTATCAGTTTATCATGTGGGACCTGATGGATGGAAGAAGCTATCAGGCGATGATGTTGGAGAGCTTCACTACATGTATTATCCTGTTGAACCAACAGCAGTGGAACAGGAAATGATTGAAGTGTCTGGGGCCTGAGAGTGACAAAGAAATATCTGTTGTGACGTTCTTTGTAAGTGCTTGTAATTGTTTTGATGCTCGGAAAGTACATAGACCGGGCTGGATTTAAGTCATTTAACTTGGTTTTTGCTGGTATCATTTTTTATCCGGTTTTGAGATTTTTAACGATCATGCTTGATATGTCATTTTCCTTATTTTTAATGTTTCCCATCTTTTTTGTTTGGACTTTGGATGCTCTGTTTCGAGCAGTACTGTTTAAACTACCTTGCAGTACAACTGGGCCATTGTTGAAACGCTAGTGGCTCCCATTGATTACGCAACTTCCCATGAGATTGCCGGATATTGCTGGGCACAATGTCCCTCATAATTTACCCTATTACATAATACAAAGCATTCTATGAAATATGTTAGGACTCGTAATTTTTGATGAATCGTACCGGATACAAAATCAACATAATTTTAATGGGCTCAGACTATTATTGAGTTTGATTGGTCTGACTCGTTTAACAATGGGTCAATATGAATCTAGGTTTACACTACTGCTATAAAGTTCACATTACTGTATGGGTTAAAAAAAATTGACTTAAAATATGTTTTCAATATGACACAATCCATTGGCAGCAGTCCACTTGAAGTGCGTTAATTACAGTTTCTTTCAATGTCGTGTAGTGATTTAGATTTTAGGATTATTTGAAAAGGAAAATGCTATGTTCATCAATTCTTTTATCAAAATATAGATCCTTCAAAGTTATTGGATAGTTAGTGAAAGTTTGTGGGACCTTACTGATCCTAGGAATCTCATTGATTTGGGATAAAAAATTAGTAAAAGTTTTTGTGAATGTACCATTATTGATCCGAAAAAGCTTCAATTTCTCTTATAGTGAATGACAAGATATTATTCTCATACCCTAATCCTGCAATGCACTCGGATTGGATTTAGGTTGTCTCCATTATGTTTTCATTCAATGGTGAAATTGAGGGAAAGTGTAATGGACATGATCTCAATGGATCTTAAAGAGTAGGCAATTAACCGGGTTTGGCTCTTCTTCAATCACAAAATAATTAGAAGATTCTCCAAAAATGGTATACCCCAAGATTAGTTTGCCCAACTATTTGCAGGGACTATAATAATTATTTCCTCATAAAATGATTGTAACTTGTTCCCAGTGAATTGCTGGCTTTATCTCATGTCTACCATAGCAACCGAGTCGGCTAGACAATTTCTCAAGCAAGTAGAGTGCTTTGGCAAACTTAGCTTACCAGCCAATTCTCGGATTGGATCAACCATACAAAACAATGTTAAGTGCAAAATGGGACCCCATGTTACTAATGATCAAGTTGAAGAACTCTATGCTGCGTATGCTTTACAATTCCCTTAGGTACAAAGCAAAGGATTTTGTTTTCTTATATCTCACCGTATTGTTCTATTTAGGGATGTCTATGGAAGGGCTCTAATACTTGTCTCTCTTAAAATAAACGAAATGATCATTACATGCTAATAT